TGGCATTCTATGCTGGTGCTCGTGCCGGCAGGGGTGACTGCAACCCAGGCAAGGGAATCACAATTGTCATGTCTCCATTCCATAGTAAACCATTTTTAAACTCAGAGAGCCTTAATCGAATTGGCCCTAATTTTAGCTAATCAGTCTCACATCTACTGGGTAAACCAGTTCTACAGTATAGCAAATCTGGCATGATAAGAATGTGTGGTTGTAATTGTGCGCTCTGTTGTCGGGGCTTGCCTTAATAAACAGAAAGGCCAATGTCATTATTTGATTTTTAAGATCTAGTTCCTTTGGAAAGCTTCTTGCAGAGTTTTTTTTTCTCCTTCACATTTCCTCAGGCAGTCAAGGCCACATCTGTTTGCAGCAACAGCCTCCAGGGATGAGGGAGTATATTTGGAACCCGGCTTGACAGCAACAGCTTGGCAGACCAAAAAGATTTATTGAAGAGGCTTCTGCCCCATGACCAGTACCTTCTTGTTAAATACTAGGTTCTAGGCACATTGCAGTGATCAGCTCAGGTCTGTTCAGTGATTTCAGCAAAACTACAAGACAAGACTCCAGAGTCTCAGCTCTGTTTTATAGCATGCAATTGCCACACCCAAACACCCCCCACTCCCAGTGATAGGCTATTTATATAACATTACTACTTGATTGGTTTATCCCAGAGTCCTGGGCGGCTATTGTTCTTGTGCTCCAAGCTCAGCCAGTCTCTGGGGCGATTCAATGAGGGATGGATTCCAATACATAACACTTCTCTTCACGTTGAAGGAATGCCAAGAGATGGAAGAGGAAGGGTGTAGTTATGCTCCACCTTGGCATTCCACAATGTGTTATTTGAAGACACGGAGGCGTCGGTTCCATCCACGGTTGCTGAGAAAAATTGTAGGCAACAAGCAAAATGCTGGAGAACCAGGGAAGAAAAATGGGACTGGGGAAATAGTTCTGTTTAGATCAGGTTGTTGAATCGGTGGGATTATTTAGCATGCAGTTCTGACACAGGGGATGCAGGGGACGTCTCAGGAGGAGCTACTGCTAAAAGAAACTTTGGGATATTGCTGTGCTGGGAGATGGGTAGGGTGCTGGGCGTCGAAGTGCAATTCATGAAGGTCTGTTGGTGTGCTTGCTGGTTGCACTAAAGGGCCAATTTGCACGTTGTACCTTTTACAAATTCTTGGTCTGGCCATAAAAGCTGAAAAACGGCTCACCATGTGGAAACCTCCCCCTACTGTGTGGAGGATTGCTATGCTGCTGCTAGGCACAGCCACTATGTGAAATGACTTCAAACATGGTCCCAGCAGTCTGTAGCTACTGGCTCAGGGTGCAAACCAAGATGGATAGCTTCAGGCAAATTATATTTTGGGTTTTTTAAAGCAATTTAAGAAGCAGAAAGATGAGGTGAAGAGTAAGATGTATGTAAAGAAAGTAGGGTTGTTTTTTGTTGTTGTTGTTCAGTCGCACAGTCGAGTCCGACTCTTTGTGACCCCATGGACCCCATTACGCCAGGCCCTCCTGTCTTCCGCCGTTCTCTGAAGTTGGCTCAATTTCATGTTCGTTGTATCTATGACACTGTCTAACCATCTCATCCTTTGCTGTCCCCGTCTTCTTTGACCTTCAATCTTTCCCAGCATCAGGGGCTTCTCCAGTGAGTGCTCCCTTCTCATTTGGTGGCCAAAGTATTTGCGCTTCAATTTCATTATCTGGCCTTCCAGGGAACAGTCAGGGTTGATTTCTTTTAGGATTGACTGATTTGATCTTCTTGCAGTCCAAGGGACTCTCAAGAGTCTTCTCCAGCACCATAGTTCAAAAGAATCTATTCTTCGGCGCTCGGCCTTCCTTATAGTCCAACTCTCGCAGCCATACATGACTACTGGGAATACCATTGCTTTGACCATGCGGACTTTTGTTGGCAGGGTGATGTCTCTACTTTTTATCATGCTGTTTAGGTTCGCCATCGCTTTCCTCCCAAGGAGCAGGTGTCTTTTAATTTCATGGCTGCTGTCACTGTCTGCGGTGATCTGGGATCCCAGGATCGTGAAGTCTGTCACTACTTCCACGACTTCCCCTTCTATTTGCCAAGGAGTGATGGGGCCGGATGCCATGATCTTAGTTTTTTTGATGTTGAGCTTCAAGCCCACTTTTGCGCTCCTCTTTTACCCCGAGTAAGAGGCTTTTTAGGTGGAGGTGGGGACAGACGAAGACAGATCCATTAACCATAACAGGGATGTAGGATTTTTATCTCACTACAAATGTTGACCTAACCTGGATAGCCTAGGCTAGCCTGATCTTATCGTAAAGCAGGGTCAGCCCTGGTTAGTACTTGGATGGGAGACCTTCAAGGAATACCAGGGCAGCTATGCAGAGGTAGACCATGGCAAACCATCTCTGAAACGTCTCTGGCCTTTAAAATTCTATGGTTCCCCATAAGTCAGCTGCGACTTGATGGCAAATAAATAAATAAATGTTTGCTAACCTAACATGGCCGACCACCTGGATCTCACAGAACCTGGTGCTCCCAACCTTGTACAGGGATTAACAGGCAAGCATAAATCAGCTTGTCACCTGAGCAGGGAGGGACATTTCTTGAGAAATGTGCTGCTGCTGCAGCAGTAGCCAGTCCACAGTTATCCATGCTCGCTAGTCTACTGCAAAGAGCTCCACATGGGACAGCTTTGAAAGACAATTCAAAAAATCCAGGTAGTTCAAACTGCAGCAGCAAGATTATTAGCTGGTGCAAATTACAGAGCACATGTTTCAGCTGTGCTAAAGGATTTACACTGGCTACCAACTAACTTCCAGGCTCAGTTCTAAGTGCCGGTTATGGCCTTTAAAGCCCTGTACAATCTCGGACAAGAGCCTAGCTTACAGTGCACCCGTACCCCGAGATCCTGTTCACACAGACTGCTATCCAGAAGTGTGTCCTCCATCCAGTATGTGTGTCCCTGATGTTTGTTACTCACATGTAGAACTCCTCACTTATCCCTGTTGAATTGCCTCTTATTCACATCCACCCGCTTTTCCAGTGTGTTTAGATCTCGTTAAATTCTATCTCTGTCAGGGTGTTTGCTACTCCTTCCAATTTGGTATCATCTGCAAATTGAATGAGTAGTCCCTCCATCCCTCATCCAGACAATTTATAAAAACATTGGGAGAAAAGAAAAAAAGAAAAGTACCAGGCCTAGAACTGAGCCCTGTGGCACCCAACTGGATACTTCCCTCCAATCAGATGAAATGCCACTGACAACTACTCTTTGGGTGTGGTTCTCCAATCAGTTCCCCATCTACCTGACTTTCATGGAGTCCGGTCCAGAGTCCTCCAGTTTATCCATCAGAACATCCGGATGCAAAGTATGCTATATTTCCAGTGTCCGCTAAAGACTTGTTTACCCAGGCTTTTCAAAGAATCTATAAAAATGTGATTTCAATATGTGATTTTAAATTGTGCGTAAGTTCAGTTGACTCTTGGGCTTTTGGAGGAGGGAAGGGGTTAAGATAATTTAAATAAATACACAGAAACTGAGAGATGTGGAATTCTTTCTTGCTAGGCTCCCTTGGACAGGAAAACTCTAATCCCAGTTGAGTACAGATTTGGCTGCTGCTGCTCAGTGATGAGAGGAAGGCACTCTGCACATACTCAAGGGCAGCCTGCTCAGTGTAGTGGTTAGCGTGTTGGACTAGAATCTGGGAGACCCAGGTTCAAATCCCCTCTCTGCCATGGAAGCTTGCTGGGTGACCTTGGGCCAGTCACACCCTCTCAGCCAACCAACTTCACAGGGCCTCTTGACTCCTGAGGATAAAACAGAGGAGAGGAGAAGGATGTCAGCTGCTTTGGGTTCCCGTGGTAGAGAAAGGCCAGGGGTATAAATGAAGCCAATAAATAAATAATAAAGGTGTAGCACCTTGTAAGTTCCAGGGCTTAAAGTTTGCAGTGGGGGGGAACCCTGTACTCGATACCTACTAGGGGGCTGGGATCAGTGCTCCCCCTCTCAGCTGTGGGGTCCTGTGAGCAAACATTCCGCTCGGTGAGCTCCTGGCATTAAAGTTCTGAGATTTGGCTGCATAAATGAGTTTGCTCTGGAGCCCTCCTTCCTGACCTAAGACACAACTGTTGTATTGTGAGAAAGGGAGAAAAGTACCTCTTTCTCCACCTGGTCTATCCCATGCATAATCTTATAAACCTCGATCATGTCACCCCTCAGCCGTCGTTTCTCCAAGCTAAAGAGCCCTAAGCGCCTTAACCTTTCCTCATAGGGAAAGTGTTCCAACCCTTTTATCATTCCACTTGCCCTTTTCTGCACTTCTTCCAAGGCTATAATATCCTTTTGGAGGTGTGGTGACCAGAACTGTACACAGTACTCCGAATGAGGTCGCGCCATTCTCCAGGACTGTCTGTCGCAACCTGGAGTTGGCAACCTTAATCTCCCACTGGGTTGTGTAGCAAGGCCGATAGGCTAAAGTTTATAAAAATCCTTTTCATTACTATTACAACAATCAATATATATATTATTATCTTTTCAAACTGGCTTTTCTTCAGTGCTGAGGTGTCCCGTCTCCGAAGCGCTTCGCCGGCCTTGTCCTCGTGCCAGGCCCTCCCCCCTGTCAGCCGCCGGGCCCGTGTGGTTTTATCTCCGGCAGGCGGGCGGGCGGCGAAGGGCGGCTCTCCGGAGGAGGTTTCAGGCGACGGGGCCGTCGAGGAGGGGAGGCAGGATCCCCACACAGCTCGTTTCCGGCTCTGACCGCGAGGCCGCTTCACGCCCCTCTCCCTCCGTGGCGCGCTTCCCGGGGGCAGGAAGGAGCCCCCCTCTTGTGCGGGATGGCATCTCCCGAGAGCCGCCCGGGCCGCCGCCGCCGGGCTGTCTCACCGCAGCGCAGAGGGGGCGGCAGGAGCGGCGCGGCCCGAGGGGCTCCGAGGGGGCGGAGGGGGAAGCCCCGACGCGGCCGCCGCCGCCGCCGGCCCCGCCCCTCCTCCTCCTCCTCCTCCTCCTCCCTCATAAGCCGTCCCGCGGCGGCCATTTTGTGCCATTCTTCCTCCGCGGCTTGAGGGGATCCCGCGCCGAGCCGTTTTCCCGGTCGCCTCCTCCTTCTCTTCCCACGCGTGGTTCCGAGGCGGTCTGAGGGGCGGCTCCGTCGATGGCCAGCTTTCCCCCGGCGGTTAACGAGAAGCTCATCGGTGAGCGACTCCCGGGGGGGGAGGGGCTGGTTTCGCGCCCTTCCTTGCGTCGCGCTTCCCTCCGTTCTCCCCCCCCCCGGGGGGACTTTGACAGGGGAGAGAGAGAGGGATCCCCTCCCGGGGGTGCCGGCCGAGGGGCGCTCAGCCTGGCCGGAGAGGGAGGCAGACCCCGCCCCTGCCCCGGGCTCTCCTCCTGTCGAGGGCCGCCAGCTCTGGAGTGGGACATACCTGGAGACTTGGGGGGGGCGGGGTTTGGGGAGGGGCCTCAGCAGGGTCCGATGCCGCAGAGGCCCCCCCTCCAAAGCAGCCGTCTTCTCCAGGGGAGCTGATCTCTGTTACCTGGAGATCCGTTGCGAAAGCGGGAGGTCTCCAGGCCCCACCTGGAGTCTCCAGGCCCCACCTGGAGGCTGGCAACCCTACTCCCTTCTGCCCCCCCCCGCCTTTGCAGCGCTGCTCTCCCGGTGTGTGTGTGTGGGGGGGCGTCTCCGAGGGGGCTCGGGGGCGCGCCTGGCGGGCGGGCGGGGAGCAGTGCTCCCCCTCTCAGCTGTGGGGGTCCTGTGAGCAAACATTGAGCTCCTGGCATTAAAGCTCTGAGATTTGGCTGCTGCATCACTGAGTTTGCTCTGGAGCCCTCCTTCCCGCCCTAAGACAGAAAGGTGTGAGCCCGAGGCTACAGAAAACAGGGTTGCCTGTTCCCTGGAAGGCCAGATAATGAAACTGAAGCTCAAATACTTTGGCCACCCAATGAGAAGGGAGCACTCCCTGGAGAAGACCCTGATGCTGGGAAAGATTGAAGGTCAAAGAAGACGGGGACGGCAAAGGATGAGATGGTTAGACAGTGTCATAGACGCAACGAACATGAAATTGAGCCAACTTCAGAGGACGGCGGAAGACCGGAAGGCTTGGTGTGATCTGGTTCATGGGGTCGCGAAGAGACAGACTCGACTGTGTGACTGAACAACAACAACAACAACTGTTCATCTGCGTTGTCCTGTGCAGGCACACATGGGATCTGCACACGCGCAGATCCCATGTGTGCCTGCACAGGACAACGCAGATGAACTGTGAGCTAGCTGGCACCCACTCCGCTTAGAGGGAACCGTGGCTGGGATTCCTCCGGCCCCACCGCTCCTCGCCCCCCCCCCAGGAAGTGAGTGGCGCCTGCGCCAGCGAGACACGAAGCCCAGCGGACTTTGCTTTTGCTTTGACTGACAGGGGCCAAGGTGTTCCTCTCTTTCAAGAGGAGGTCCAGCGAAGCAGGGGTCTGGCTCCTCCTGGGGCGCAGCCCTGGCAGCACGGAGCCCCCGTCTGCGGCTCTTCTTGAAGGCGCTGGTGAGCACCCTGTTTTCAGGGGCTGCCGCACCATTTACATTGGAGCAGTGTTCCCTCTAAGCTGTGGAGTCTTGTGAGCTAAAATTCTACTTTGTGAGCTACTGGCATTAAAGTTGTGAGCGAGCGATTTGGCTCCTGCATCAATTAGTTTGCTCTGGAGCCATCCATGCCTGAGCTAAGACAAAAATCTGTGAGCTGGAAGCTGAAAAACTATGAGCTAACTCACACTATCTCAGCTTAGAGGGAACACTGCATTGGAGACCTGTGCAAGAAGGCAACTGGTTGTAGAAATGATGTCAAAAGGCAGATAAGAATGGGGCGGAAAGAGCGGGGAGTCCTTCTGTTCTGTTGCCTGCTTTTACAACTGGGCAGCAACTTTCACTTCCCCTTGTAACCAATGCTCCCTCTAAGCTGTGGAGTCTTGTGAGCAAAAATTCTGCTTTGTGAGAGACTGGCATTAAAGTTGTGAGCGAGCGATTTGGCTCCTGCATCAATTAGTTTGCTCTGGAGCCATCCTTCCTGAGCTAAGACAAAAATGTGTGAGTCAGAGGCTAAAAAACTGTGAGCTAGCTCAAACCAGCTCAGCTTAGAGGGAACACTGCTTGTAACCTTGTGGCGCCTTCTGTATGGAGAAAGAGCACTGAATTGAGTGTAGAGTAGCACACTGTGAGACCTGAGTTCTGATCTGTGCGCTAGCTGCCATGCTAGCTGCCCTCCTCTCTGTTGTTTCCTAAGCTGCCTTTATTGAAAATAAGATTCTGTTAATAGCTAACCTAGAATTGTGGTCTCTCTCCCCTCCCCAGTTTTTATCTGCATTTTAAGAGAACCCGTTACAGTGTTTAGATTTCTCCCTTCAATTTGTACAGAAGCAATTTCTGTTACAGCGGAATTTCACAATGCCAAATCTAGCAAATGAGGTTTGTTTTCTGCTGAAACGCATTTGCAGATACATTTTCGAGCTGATTTGCTGTTTCAAACAGTTGGGCTGCCATTGTGGCCATTTTGTTGAAGCGGCGTCCCACTCCTGCACCTCCTTCCTCTTTTGGCTGTGGGGGGGGGAGGTGAATTCATTTTTCCTGTTTCCAGCGATCTGAATTTTTTCCTCAACAAACACAGGAGCCTGGCAGAGGTGTTCTGATGGGAAAATCGCCCTGAGCCTGCCTTGGTAGGGAGGGCAGGGTATAAATTGGATAAAATAAATGCTACTAAGATCCAAGAAACCCCCCCCCCCCATTGGAGTATGGTTTTGAAAGACAAGACCTGTCATTACCAAACAAGGAGAGATTTCCAGTGTTTGGATTTATTTAGATTTCCTTTTGAGGGTATGTATAGCAGCCAGAGCAGCTAACGTGGGTTAAGAGTTCATATCATACACACACATCCTGCAGTAGTAGACCCCCCTCCTGCATTTGAATGCAGACATCACACAAAAAGCCCTGCCTTGTTACTCTGTATGTAAAGAAGGTGTGGCTACTCATTTCCTCTGATTCCTGTTCCTTGTTTTGCTGTGCCCAGTTGTTACTGGAGAAAGCGAGCTCGCATTGGTAGTAAATAACTAATTCTTGTTGTCTCTGGAGAACATTTGTGTTGACATGATTCTTTGTCTAGACTGACTAGGATGGCTGTAAATGCTGTGCAAAACAATTGGAATCAACCTAATGTATAATGCATCCTTAAGAAATAAATTACCAACATTTTTAGTGTTGTTTAGGTATCCCTGCTTAGGTTTTATGGTTGCCGATAAAGCACATTAAATTCAAAGCTACTGTCTTAGACACTCTGTGGTTTTGGTTTGGTTAGATAGGATCTAGCAACACTGTGATTGTTGCTAAGATAGAAACCGGTAAACTAAGTCTGAACACTTTTGAGTCTCTGTTTGGCATAGGCTGATTGTAGAGGCTGTTCAGATGATGAGAGCTAGCACGGGGTCATGGGGAGAGTTCTGCAGCAGGCCTTGTAGAGACCCAGGTTCAGAAACCCTACTCTTCCATGAAGCTTTTGCTGGGTAACCTTTATGACTTTTTGTTTTAAGTGATGCAGCAGCATGAAGGATGCTGCATTGTAAAGCTGTGGCGTTCCTCATTCTCACTTGCAAATGGTGCAATCTCTTTAGGAAGGTCACGTGCAGTAGGAGAGCTTCTAGCCCCAGTTTCTCCTTTTGACAAGAAGTGTGGGCGTGAAAACTGGACGGTTGCCTTTGCACCAGATGGCTCCTACTTCGCTTGGTCACAAGGTCACCGCATAGTAAAACTGGTTCCCTGGTCTCAGTATCTTAATAACTTGTAAGTACCACCTTTTTCTGACAAGTTAAGTGTCTGGTATTTTTAAAAATTTGTCTGGATTTGTGATTGTGACACTGTGCTCAACAGATTAGCTGGTTTTGTTGTCTTGGTGAAGAAATTAGCATTATTTAAACCAGGCAAAGGCTGCATGAAACACAGAGCTAGAATTTTATGGAAGGGTATAAGAATTAAACTAAAATGGTGAAAGCCCCTGGTCTCCCCCCCCCTGCCTATATTTATCATGCTTAGTCATACATACCACAGCCGTGAAGGTAGGCAAACGTGGGCCAGTGGCTAGAAACTGGGTCTCAGAGGTCCACCTTTTCCTTGGGCCAGCCTCCGTTCTTCACAGGGTTGGTAAGAAATTACTAAAAGTGCTTTGATCTAGAAAGTGGGTTTTATTGGCTGTTCTGTGGACCATAAATAGGACCCATTTTTTATTTTCCTTAGCAGGATAAATTGCACTCATGACTAGCCAGCTGACTTCCTCTGTCGAGAATGTTCTATATCAAGCAGCTTATTGAACCTGTCATTTCAAGACTTGTTCCTTCTAAAATGTTGACCGTTTTTCCTCCCTCCAGTTCAGCGCATGGCGTAAAAAATTTTGCAAACGCAAGCCAGTCAAGACTATCAAAACAGAGCAGCGATGGTGACCAGAAGACCAAGCCCCGTGAGCATTCAATAGATTGTGGTGACATTGTTTGGAGTCTTGCGTTTGGGTCTTCGGTGCCTGAAAAGCAGAGTCGCTGTGTGAACATAGAATGGCATCGGTTCAAGTTTGGACAAGACCAGCTTCTGTTGGCAACAGGCTTATCCAATGGGCGTATCAAAATATGGGATGTCTATACAGGTAAAAAAAATAAACAGCCTGGTGGAAACGTTCATCCACTTTTCATTCTAAAATATTCAAAAGAACAGCCACATGATCCATGTTTCTGAAAGATGTACTGTCACCCGTGGAGCCATTCATTCTGAATGTGTTTGACTTGTATCAGATTAACGGAGAATTATTACAAAGACAAGTAGAACCTCTGTATTTAGAGGCAGTATTCCTCTGAAGATCAGTTGCCCGGGGGGGGGGGGGGCTAAGTCATGGTGAAAGGTTTGTGTCCTGCGTGTCCTGCGTGTGGGATTCCAGGGAGCATCTGGGTATCCTCTGTGGAAAGTGGAATGCTGGATCTTGAGTGTAGTCCAGCCTCTTTTGTTTTTGTTTTTGTTTTTATATCCTGCTGTTCTCCCCCCTCACACACATTATGGTGTTGTTCTCCTCTGCAAAACCAAGCAAAGGTTAGTGAAAAGGAGGGCCAATATTAAAACTTTTCCATAAAAGATAAAAAGAGGTACATGTATTTATTAATAATAATAACAGATTTTAAAACATATATAGAGGCCCATTTACAACCAATGTATATTAAATATAACAATATCAAGGGCTTACAAAGTTGACCTTACGCGTTTCGGCCAAATAGGCCTTCCTTAGAGGTCATACATATGTGGCAAGATGGTTAATAATTATTTTCACATAAACACAATCAGAAATATATACAAAGTATAGATTCAATGAGGACCATAAAGTAAATTGTTCAAAAGTAAAGTCACCAGGCACAAGGTAAATATGCACATAAGACTTTTCTCCCTTTCTCACAATACAAGAACTCGTGGGCACTCCATGAAATTGCTGAGCGGTCGGGTTAGAACGGATAAAAGGAAGTACTTCTTCACCCAAAGAGTGATTAACACTTGGAATTCACTGCCACAGGAAGTGGTGGCGGCTACAAGCATGGACGGCTTCAAAAGGGAATTAGATAAGCATATGGAGCAGAGGTCCATCAGTGGCTATTAGCCACAAGGTATAGATAGGGACTCTGGGGCAAGTGATGCTCTGTCATCTTGGTGCTTGGGGGGGTCAACAGTGGGATGGCTTCTAATGTCCTGGCCCCACTGGTGGACCTCCTGATGGCACTGGTATTTCTGACCACTGTGTGATACAGAGTGTTGGACTGGATGGGCCTTTGGCCTGATCCAACATTGGCATCTCTTATGTTCTTATGTTCTTAAGACCTTTAAAGTGCAATCACTAGCCCAGTTATTATAAAATTGTGGTCCAAAAATTTCCTCCTTTGATTGTGTTGCCACAGCATTCATAAGTAAAAAGCAGTGTGCTTGGATTTCTGAAGAACATCTTTGCAGCTGTAGTTTCACCCAGTTTCTTCTAGACTTGGGTGAAAACTGATCCCAGGTTCCTTGGAACTGAAACTCTAGCAGCATTGCAGTGGGTTAAGGCTTAAGTATTGAGCAAGTGGCAGAAATTCCTTTGGTTTCAAAAATTTTATGCTGCTTATAGGAAAGCTTTTATCATGGCACTTGGTTTAAAAGGCAGTCCAAGAGAGAAAGCAAATATATTGACTTTAAAAAGACAAGTTCAGGATCAAGGTTTAAGTAAACAGAGTATTACTTACACTGTGTAATATGCATGTGTAAATAATTGGTTTCCTAATCCATTTGTATGTTTGTAAGGTATTTATGTCCTGCCTTTTGATCTCTCTGAGCCCACAAGGTGACTCACAAAAGAGAACCACTGTCTCAAAGTAGAAAAAAGCTAAACTAGCAAGACATGTCAGCAGCAGGATGCATTGTGTTTTTATCCCACCTTCCCTCCAAGGAGCTAAGAGGAGTGAATGTGGTTCTCCCCTTCTCCGTTATATTGAAGCAACCCTCTGGGGGTGGGGGTGGTAGGTTACTGAGAATCACCGAGCCAAAGGCATCCAGTGAACTTCATGGCTGAGCAGTGATTTGAACCCAGGTCTTCCTAATTTACTCCACACTAGTTTCCGAGAGGAAACAAAGTAGGCCTTTGTAGGAGGGTATGCTGCATTCGGAGCGCCCCTACTGGAAGGGCCCTGCTTTTAATTCTGGCAGGGGAACACAAGGCAGTGCCTCAGAAGGTGGTATTGGGGAGTCAGCAGATTGGTGTGGGAGAATCTGGTCCTTAAGATGCTTTTATAAGTAGGAGAAGGTGGTCTTGCTAGTGATGGGGGGGGGATTGCAGTGCTTACTGGAAGCTGATTTTTCAAGGCTTCTTGACACGGCATTGGTGGTGTGTTTCTGGAAAGAAGTCCTCCCCCCATCCAAACGGGATGCGGTGATTGCTACTCCTCACTTGATGGCAGGATTTAATTTTGAAATGTGTTCATCCGACAGGAAAGCTCCTCCTTAACTTAATGGACCATACTGAAGTTGTCAGAGACTTAACTTTTGCCCCTGATGGGAGCCTCATACTCGTGTCTGCCTCAAGAGACAAAACACTAAGAGTGTGGGACCTAAAAGACGATGGTAAGTGATTGCCTCTGGCTTTGTGGTGCGGCTCTGAAAGGACATTCTGGGGTTTATATTTCCGTGCTGCCTGTGTTTCATATCGCAAGGTCAAACAGAGGGTGCAGAGAAGTGTCCCAGGTCCTGATTTTTCTCACCCATCCATCTGTATGTAAGCCCTCACTCATTCATATATTTTAGGATGGGCCTTTTCAGGCTTTGGCTCCCAGGTTATCAAATTAGCTACCAAACCAGCTGCGCAGATATTTTGATTTTTGTCCCTATCATTTCTGAAGGATATGGTTTTGGTTCTTACCCAGTAAGGAATTCTAGGGAGACAGACTCTTTCGATGAAGCAGAAGATTTTATTGGATATACAGCTTGCAAGCAGGGTGCCCAGCTCAGAGAACAGAACACCCCGCATTGAGTTAATCAGCAGATATATATACTATCCCAGAGAGGTATAGAAAATAAAAAACACCCTGTCTTGGCCCCCTTTCTGGTGACCAAAACATACAGTCTTCCAATCCCGTTCGCCTAGAGGAGGGGCCGTAACGCCTCTGTTGAGAGTTCTGTTCTTTCTCTGTGGAAACCCCCTCCCTGCAGAGGGTCTAAAAGTAACCCCACCCCTGCCAACAGTCAACTCTCCTCCTCCAGAGGGTCTGCTGAGATAGCAAGCCGGCCTGCTCAAGCATTTAGGTTCAGACACCATATTTTTATATGTAGCCAAGCTCCAGAAGTCCCTTTTCTCAATTTTGGGTTATTTGTGCAGGCCTATTGTCTGGTTTCATAATAAGCATTAATCAATTGATTTCAAGCAATATTTTTCTACTGCAGTTTAAAGCAAGGTATTTAAGATTTTCTTTATCAGAAGTCCCCTTTTTCATTTCTCAAAAATTTCCATCACAATTTCCATCTCTATGATGCATCTCCGGAGGCATCTGGATCGGGGCGGAATGGCAGTGCTGTGGTTGTTAGACCTGCCAGCAGTGTTCGATACAGTCGGCCATCAGCTACTGACCCACCACCTCGCTGATGCTGGAATCCATGGGCTGGCCTTGCAGTGGCTTGTCTCCTTCCTCCAGAGTCGGGGACAAAGGGGGGCAGTGGGGGAACAGCTATCCCAGAGTAACCCACTGGGTTGTGGGGTGCCTCAAGGGGCAGTGCTGTCCCTGAGGCTTTTTAACAACTATATGCGCCCCCTTGCCCAGATCGCCCAGAGGCATGGGTTAGGATGTCACCAGTATGCAGATGACACCCAGCTCTATCTGTTGTTGGGCGGCCAGTCTGACTCCAAACCGGAAGATCTGGGCCAGGAGTTACAAGCTGTGGCTGGTTGACTTAGACTGAGTCAGTAGAAGCTGAATCTGATGAAGATGGAGGTCCTGTGCTTGAGTTGGGGCAGACCAACCGGAGGGATCCCTCTCCCGACCTTCGATGGGGCTCCTTTGGTGCCAGCGGCGTAGGTTAGGAGTTTGGGAGTGTTCCTAGATGCCTCCTTAACAATGGAGGCCCGGGTAGCAACCACCGCCAAATCGGCCTTTTACCACCTTCAGCTGAATAGGCCGTTGGTTCCCTCCCTCGAACACAACGACTTGGCAGCAGTGATCCACACAATGATCACCTCGAGATTGGACTACTGTAATGCTCTCTACATGGGGCTGCCCTTGTCTCAAATCCAGAAGCTGCAGCTGGTGAAAAATGCCACGGCCAGGCTTTTGATGGGGCTCCCTAGATGGGAGCACATACAGCCTGTGCTAAAAGCATCGCACTGGCTGCCGATAGCGTACCAGATCCATTTTAAGATGCTGGTTCTTTATGGCCAGGGACCTGCATACCTGAGGGACTGCCTTTCCCCACATGTTCCCCAGAGAGTGCTGCGATTGGAGGCCCAAAACCGACTGGCCCTCCCAAGTCTTAGGGAGGCCAGGTTGGCAACAACCAGGGCCAGGGCTTTCTCGGTGGTGGCTCCACTCTGGTAGAATGAGCTCCCAGAGGAGTTCAGGGCCCTGCGGGACCTTGTGCATTTCCTTGGGGCCTGTAAAATGGAGTTTGTCCACCAGGGTTTTGGAGCTGCCACCACCGCTAACCACCACCGTTAACAACTAACGACTGATAGCTGAAGGTGAGAGAACCCTCATCTCCCAGAACCTTTAATGACAGTTGGTGTGAGTCGCCAGAAGGATAACTACAAGAAGATCGAGGAACCAACTGTAAGAAGAGTGGATTGTGTCATCACAGCCATTGGGAATTATTGTTATTAGCACTTTCTTGAGTTGTATAGTTAAATGATTTTAGAATCGTTTTAATTCAAATTAGTTACGTTTTATTGTAAATTATGTATTGTGTCTGTGTAAGCCGCCCTGAGCCGGCTTTGGCTGGGAGGGCGGGGTAAAAATCCAATAACTAAATCTTCTTGCCTCACGAGCCACCTGTGATTGCAGGTGGGGTCAGGATGTGCAGTACGTCCCCTTTGGACTGCTTGCTAGCCTGAGCAGTGCTCTTACTTGTTAATCTTACCCACCACTCTCTTTATTCCCCCCCCCTCCCAGGAAATATGATGAAAGTATTAAGAGGGCACCCGAACTGGGTTTATAGCTGTGCTTTTTCTCCAGACTCTTCCATTCTCTGCTCTGTGGGTGCCAGTAAAGCAGTAAGTATCAAAGTTTCATGTTCTCTGCCTGCCATATGGTTGTGAGCAGAATCATTTGGAATCTTAAAATAATAGCCAGCTTGTGCTCGGTGTCACGCTGTTATGGTGGTGATGATGCAAGGAGATTGCATGATGAAAAAGGACAACAGTAAATTAGCTATAAAGCCTGGCTCAGTTGTCAGCCCCTGATCTCTGAGCCTTGCGCTGCTTTTCAGTTCCAAGGAACTTGGATGAATCTGTTGATACAAAATTGTTGCGCATATCTCCATCTGTTCCATGACTTTTGACCGTTAAAGCGAGCAGTAATGTTTTGAAGGGAGAGGTTGTAGTACTACTTTGTGGCTCCTGACTTTGTTCATGTTTTCTTGCCATGTTCACGTCAAAAATTTCATTTTTTCAAAACCAGTGCTGTGGGCTGGTAAACTTTACTTAATGTAAAATGTTACTCTTGGATCAATCAAGAGTTACAAAGCAGCCCTTGTGTGTAAACTCTCTAGAAAGAAGAGCAACATCCCGTTGGACTTGTGTAGAACTTCATTCTGTTGCCCTGCCATGCTGTTGAAAGCTGTGCCATTAAAGGATATTAGGAAGCCGATAGTTACAGTAAGGTGTGAGGAAGTGGGAGGGGAACCAGTTAACCTTAAAACCGCAGTCCTTTGCACGCTTAGAAATACATTGGCTTTGAAATCAGTGGGGTTTATTTCTGACTAAACGTGTATAAGATTGACTTGCATCTTTTTGATATAGTACTAAACTCCAGTTAGGGTAACACAAGGGTGGGCAACTTGTATTCGCTGAGGCATATTTGTGTGGAGTTGAGTTTTGTTAGAATTGGAAACCTCATTTTGAAGGAGAGTTTCTAGCTTTCACGGTTGCAGTGGTATCTGAAACCGTAATGATGGAAATGCTGGTGTATCTTAGGCGAGGGATAGAGATTAAACAAACAGTTGCCAGACCTCTGTATCCAATTCTCCCCTCCCCACACAAAGAATTGGCTCCTGCTTTTCTTGTTTTAACATTTGAGGGTAAAGTGACAAAATCTGTGTCTTGTGGCTTAAATGCCTGACCCACCTATCAGGGCTTCCCTTGTATGAAAAACCGCCTTATCCCACCAGCAAATGGGAGGGGAAGTGCCTTAGCCCGCTTTCATTATTCTTGAGGTGGCCATCAGTGTTCAACAAGTTGTCCATCCTCTGGGGGCTAGTAGGGAGCTCAGCTTAAAAGCTAGCAGTGAGCATTAGTATATAAGTAGCTATTAGAGTTGATTTGGTGTTTTTTTTTAATATTGCCAATTTTGGGGGGGGGAATGCAGATGAGAGGGAGAAATATCAGTGAAATCTTTGCAAAATAGAACAGATGTGGATGTATGCATTGCTCTTTTAGGCTGTGTGTTTTCCATAAGCTTCTTGCTTTCCCTGTCACAGGTGGTGGCAGCAATATTGGTGTGATTGAGGGTAAGCTGACACCACTCACACAAGCGCACAATGGTGTTTAGCTGGGCAGAAAGAGTGGCATCTCTGGCTACCAGGCTGGGGGCGAGCTTTACCATAGGACGAAGTAACCCTTGCGTTCGGCTGCAGGGTGTACTGTACGTACGCAGGTGCTGGTTGATGTCCACTTTCTGCTTTTTTTTTCCTTTTCCTTTCTTTTTTTCTTTTCACATTAGTGAAATCTCATTGACTCCTTTTAAGCAACATATATGTTGTCCATTCATATGGAGATCTGGAGTCCTTTTAACAAGCTGAGCCGAGTCAGACTATATACCTGACTTTAACAAAATTTTGTTACAGTTAAAAGTAAAAGAAGTCACTAATACTGCTCTGGTGAAACCCTAAGTTGTTTTGCACATCGTGTTTGCAGAGTCTTTTTAAAAATTTATATCTAACAACTCTGCTTATTGCTGAGGCTCAGAGTGGCTCATAATATTTAAAAACCAAATGCTTAGAATTCTATGCCAGAAAAGCACTTAAAGTGCAAGCCTGTTTTTTAATCTGTAAAGCTATGCTGATACTGTGACACACATGTAGTGGAATGTTGATTTTCTTGCACATGCTTTAAACCAGTGCAGTATCGTTTAAAGTGTACGGCTGCATGTGAACTGTGCTGAAGCCATGCCTGCATTTGTAAATTGGCTGATTTACTAAGACTTTTGTTTTAAAACCTGGTAAATTCATGTAATGTAATGTAAATTCATATGTGTGTGTGTTTATATATTCTATATAGATAGATAGAATTAAGCTTAAAAGTGTAAAATTTTAGTTTCTGTTTTTGCCAAAGACTTGTCATTTGGCTGTGACCATTCTTCTTTGCTTGCAGTATCTGTTTCTCTTCCTAGGCTGACGGCGATCCAAGCCTATTGTAAACAAGTGATCTTAAACTCACAGGGGATGCCACGGGAGTAACAATATGTTAACCTTACATTTTTTTTCTGTCTGTATATTTTTTAAAAATTTGGTAGATAATTGGCAAAAAGAAAAGATGGGGAAATGTAATATAATATTTAACCCTATTTATTTTATATTTGTAGTTAAAATAACTAGTTAATAGTGGGGGCTCATTATAGATTACATGGTTAAAATCTCATTGACATTGTCTTCACTTGTATTGGCTTATTTTTAAAATTAACACTTAACAAGTTAGCATTTGCATGTATGCTTTATTATAATTTAATTGAGTACGACACTGAGCATATACCTTAATTGTAGTAATTCTTAATGCTTGGCTTTATTTGTATTCCTAAATAAAACTAGCAAAGAAATACCAAAGTTTGTGGCGGGAGGGGAAGGGTGCTTGAAATGGCTCTGTGGTGTGCATGAGCAGAGATATATAACATTTCCCTTTTTTAATTGCAGGTGTTGCTTTGGGATATGGATAAATACTCCCTCATCCGGAAACTGGAAGGCCATCACCATGATGCTGTAGCCTGTGAGTTTTCTCCTGATGGAGCTTTGCTGGCTACTGCGTCATACGACACTCGCATTTGTGTCTGGGATCCCTATATCGGAGTCATTTTGATGGAGTTTGGGTGAGTCAATGAATGTGACAGGGCACGAGTATGCATAGACCAGGACCAAGGCCCAGGAGGGTGGGTGAAGGGTTTCTGGGACTTGGCCTCTGTTAGGCTTCTCCGAGGTGTTGCACTGTAACCTTCAAATTGAGAGGAATCATGCTGGGAGTCAGGGCGATCTATTGGGTAGGGACTGGAAGGCCTGTGTTGTCGAGACTGGCCCTTTGCCAAGTGAGAATGGAGCGGGGTGCTGTGTGGGAGCTCTTCTGTAGCCCGGCTGCCTGAGGTCTCCTGAAGGGAAAAATGGTCCTGACCTCGTACGGCAAGGCCTTGTAGCAGTGGACTAAGGAAGGCGGTTGGGCCTGTCCTGTCTACTGTGGGTTCTTTTCCAGGCCTGTCACCATATTCCTGTACCTCATTCTTCTTATCCCACCCTCCCTTCAGGGAGTTCAGGGTGGCTTACACTGTTCTCTTCCCCTGGATTTTGTCCTCACAACAACCCTGTGAGATAGCTTGGGATGAGGGAGAGTGACCACTCCAAGGTCACCCAGTGGCCTTTTGTAGCTCTCTGTGTGGGGGAGGATTTGAACCTAGGTCTCGTAGGTTTTTGTCTGGCCCCTCAACTTCTATATGCCATGTTTGTTCTGAGATCCTGGGGGTTCAGCGTGGGGTCTGCTGCATGCAAGGCAGGTGCACTGACCTGACGGCCCCTTCGGGAGAGTTTCCCTTCAACAACCCTGGCTGCTGCTCTGTGCTCCCTGGCAGTCCCAGGTGCTTATCGCATTGGACCTTGGGTCTGCTGAGCCTTGTTTCCGCAGACTGATGGCTTCATTTGAGGTCTCCCAGAAGAGCCTGTTCCAGTTGTGTCCCCTGCAATTGTCTAACTGGCAATAGATGATTGAACTTGGCCGCCTTTAGCTTATAAAGCCATTTCATCGAACGAAGCCTTCAGTCTTTGCATTTAATATAAACATCAGACTAACTCTTTGACAGCTTTCGGAGATGGGATTCTGCATACCTCTTTCTCTGTTCTTGGTAGCCCTGTCTAATTTTTGCTCAGCTAATGATTACATGAAAAGTAAATGCTTACGGGAGTTCTGCAAAGTGACATATTGTGCTTTTGATCCTCAGGCACCTGTTTCCTGCTCCTTCTCCAATATTTGCTGGGGGAGCAAATGACCGATGGGTCAGAGCTGTGTCTTTTAGCCACGATGGACTCCACATTGCATCTGTTGCTGATGATAAGTATGTATGGTCAAGGGAGTTGAATTCTTTTGTGTCTTGCTAATAGGGAAAAATAAGTGGTTATCTCTGTAAATGCCCAACAGCAATTGGTTTAAGCAGATGAGGGAAGGGGGTTAGTTGGGAGTAGGGTTCTAGTGCCCTGACCTGGATAGCCCTGGCTAGTATTGGGATGGGAGACCTACAAGGAATACTACTTGTGGTGTGGAGGCAGGTGATGGCGAACCACCTTGGAGCGTCTGTTGCCTTGAAAACTCTACAGGGTTGCTAAATCAACTGTGATTTGATGACAAAAAGGGGTTATATGAGTGCTCTGTCATTGCTGAGAACTTGACTATTGCCAACATACAACAAGGTCTCTGATTTTTAGTTGTAATCTGTTGGTGACCCCCGCCTGGTCCCAGAAAGGGGGGGGGGGGGGTCAGGGTGGGCCTTCTGAAGGCGGCCAGAAGTTGAGCTACTCCGTGAGCCCTCAAGCTGACCCCAGCCCAGGGGGTATTGTACAAACTGACGACTGTTGTGGTTGATCCTGTTTGAATGAAACGTGGATGTGGTCGAAAGGCCGGGCAGGACAGTGTGAGCACAAGCAGCTTGAATGTGGCTGGTTCTGTTCCTGCAGGCTGGTGCGATTCTGGAGAATCGATGAAAACTACCCTGTGCAAGTTGCACCGCTGAGCAACGGGCTTTGCTGTGCCTTCTCTACTGAGGGCAGTGTTTTAGCTGCTGGGTAAGTGGTGGTTTCTCTCCTTTTTTTAAACAGTGTTGTAGTTGGGAGCTCCAGCTTAGATATCTTCTCCAATCAAGGTCTGCTGACCTTCCAGGGCCTGGCTACTAGTTAAAACATTCATGTGCTGTTTGGTTTTTTTGGCATGAAAGAAGAAGAGATTGGATTTATACCCCATGGCCCTTCACCACCCGAGGGAGTCTCAGAGCAGCTCACAAACTCCTTTCCCTTCCCCTCCCCACAACAGACACCCTGTGAGGTGGGTGGGGCTGAGAGAACTCTTGACAGAAACTGCTCTTTCAGGAACAGCTGTGCCAGAGCTTGTGACTGACCCAAGGTCACATCAACAGGTGCAAGTGGAGGAGTGGGGAATCAAACCCGGTTCTCCCAGATCAGAGTCCGCGCACTTAACCACTACACCAAACTGCCCCCAAAGTAGTTTATGGAGGATTAATTGGGGCATAACTATGGACTAAAATATTACAGTTTTATTTCATCAGTAGTAATATATGTACAAAATATACAAATTAGCAAGCTGGCAAGGTGAAACGAAACAAGGGACATGTTAAGATATCTTTTCTGATTATATTTTTTTTAAGTGATTATCTTAGCCCAAGAACTTGCTTCCCCCCTACCACCACCACCCTGAGCCAGTTTGGTGTAGTGGCTAGGAGCACGGACTCTAATCCTGGAGAACCGGGTTTGATTCCCCACTCCTCCATATGCAGCTGCTGGTGTGACTTTGGGCCAGTCACAAGTTCTTTCAGAGCTGTTCTCCCAAGGGCAGTTCTTGAAAGAGCTCTCTCAGCCCCCCTACCTCACAGGATGCCTGCTGTCGGGAGGGGAAGGGAAAGAAGATTGTAAGCTTCTCTTGAGGCTCATCTCTTCTTTTCTCTGAACAGTAGGAGAGGCCAAGTGTGCCTTGTGGGAAGGAGGTCCTTCTCTGTGGTGGCCAGCCTGTTGAAGCTGAGATGGTTGGGGTCACTGTTTGGAGAGGAAGCTTCCTGGGTCCAGGCAGTTTATTTGCTTGTGGGTTGATGTCCAGGTTCCAAGCTCTTGCTTAGATGGGGCAGAGGCAGAAGCCGCTGCAGGGGGTGGACGTGGACCCTGGTGAACGGGGAAGGAGGCAACCCAAAGCAGCAGCAGCCCTGTTAATCCGCAGACTCCTTGCACGAGAGAGATTATCCAGGAGTCTAGTAGTACCTTAAAGCCCAACAAAACATTTCCACTCAAGTGTTTGTGGGCCAGAGTTCACTTCCTCAGTTGCATAGAAGTGTACATCCGTCAGGCTGGGCTAAATACTCAGAAGAAAGGGGAGGGAAACATCGCAAGCAGCTGGTGTAAAACGAGGTCCAGTCAAAAGAGAAATGGGTTCACCTCTAGAGTACAAGAGATACTTCCAACCAACGGCAGCAGAGTGGAAGGATAATCAAATCAATGCAGAATGAAATGAAACAGACTAATCGACTTGTAAGGGCGGGAGGTGTGAGTCACTCTATGCTCAAAATGTGTCTCATTCTGTGTGTTTTTGTTTGCACAGAACGCAAGACGGGAGTGTGTACTTCTGGGCCACTCCCAAGCATGTCTCCAGCCTCCAACACTTGTGTCGCATGGCAATCAGGAGAGTGATGCCAACCAGCCAGGTCGAGGCCTTGCCCATCCCTCCCGCGATGGTGGCTTTTCTGTCCTACCGTTCTTAGGAGGGGGGGGCGCAACTGAATCCGTTAAGATGATCCCTGACCCATTGATAGCCTTTGTGCTTTTAAAGCGTCACAGGCTTTGAACTATATGTGATCATTTTTTCCATTTAAAAAAATCAAAAAGGTCCCGAACTCTCACTATGTGGAGATTTTTAAGAATTTATTTATAGAGGAGAAGAGGTAGAAGTATTCAGACAACTTTTTAAACTTGCCAACTGTGAAAGATCTGTACATAATTAGGTGTAAGCTACATTGTGCTGTCTGTGTGTAACTTTTGTGAATGCTTTTCCTGATGTACCATGTAGTGTTGTGTGTGTATACATATACATACACACACACACACATATATATATATATTGTGTCTCTGGACACTGGTGCTGTGTAAAGTGGAATGACTGCTCTGGAACTGGGAGTGAGACACCTGGGCAGACGTTGATAAAGCTCAGTTGCTGCGGGGCTGTGTCTCTGTGTTGAGCTTGGGAAAAACTGGCACCTTCGTGGAATGACTGCTCCACGGTGTGCAAGGAAAGGGCAGCCGGGTTGAACGGGGGGGGGGGGGGGGGTACATACACACACACACACACACACATATATATATATTGTGTCTCTGGACACTGGTGCTGTGTAAAGTGGAATGACTGCTCTGGAACTGGGAGTGAGACACCTGGGCAGACGTTGATAAAGCTCAGTTGCTGCGGGGCTGTGTCTCTGTGTTGAGCTTGGGAAAAACTGGCACCTTCGTGGAATGACTGCTCCGCGGTGTGCAAAGAAAGGGCGGCCGGGTTGAGCGGGGGGGGGGGGGGAGGCGAAGCACAGGACTTGTACATTGGTTTAATAAGCAGGCATGTTATCTTCAAGAAGGCCTTAATTTTGCAGCAGTGTGAAGCAGTTTTTTATCCTGTGGGATCTTTAAAGGAGAAGTTCTCTACGCCTTTGAAAGCCAGCCACTGTATTCCTGCCTGACAACTTATTTAATATGCGAACATCTAATAAACCTGGGCTATTTTCAGTATTCTACAGCCCTTTGCCATTGCAAGGGTTGATGCTGGGTGAACTACCAAAGATGAGGCATTCCCATTTTGCTTTCGCCTTCTGTTTATCTGTTCCTGCAGATACAAAGAATGTATGCATTGCTTAAAATGCCTGATTATATGTATATTGAACTTTTTATATTAAAGAAATGTACAAAAAAGAGCTCTTCTGGGTGTTGGTGTACTAGTTATTTTGCAAGCTGTATTATTGGAAAACCAGTACAGTTTGGAAGAATGGGGTGAAAGAGGGAATAATTGATAACAGTGTGATGTGTAACTTGGCCTTGCAAACCGCTCAACAAATTACCAGTCCACAGCAAACATTGCTACTCACCTGCCCATGTCTACTACTGCAACTTATTTACAACAAACCAGCAATCTGGAAGAAAGAATTCCTTCTCATCTAGGTCCTGAGTTGCTCGCTTGGGTCTTTGCAGACAAATAGCTGCTGAAAAATCTGAAATAAGTGCTGTGTTGAATAAGGTAATGTAGTGCTGCCACAGAGCCAGACTGGCTGGCTTGCCCTCCCCCATTTTGTCCAGTCCCCACGGAGTGTTCACGGCCTCTGAATGGAAAGAGGGGAGGGGCTTGTGCTGCCAGGTTCCTCCCTTTTCCCATGACCGACTTCTCCTGTCCTCTGCACCGTAGAGCAAAGTCCGTCATTCCTCCCTGGCCTGTCCAGCCTCTGCTCCCAAGTTGCACTGAAAGGCAGGTGTGCCGGATGGAGGAGAATGCCCCCTCCACCTCTCTGGTTGGCCGCAGGATTGCCTGCTTGCTGGCCTTTCCCTTGCTGGGCTAATCAGGCCAGGCGGTCTCCCTTCCTGGCTAGGGTCCTCCTCCCTCAGGCCCACCACAGAGATCACTACTGGGGTGGTAGTGGGACCGCCTTGGCCAGCACTGATACCAACGTGTGTGCTCCATCACAACTATCACTGAGAAGGCCTGCTGCTCCTTCCCGCTGAAAGCACAGAATCAAGATGAATGGCAATAAGGCTTTGTAACAACTCCAGCTAGAAGAAGGATTTATACCCCGCCCTTCACTCGCAGTCTCAAAGTGGCTTTCAAGCGCTTTCCCATCCTCTCCTCAACAGACACCCTGTGAGGTAGGAGGGGCTGAGAGAACTGACTGGCCCAAGGTCACCCGGCTGGCCGCATCTGGAAGAGGAGTGGGGAATCAAACCTGGTTCTCCAGATTAGAGTCCACCGCTCTTAACCAATATACCCAACTGGCATAAGTACTTCCAGTGTCAGGGAATCTTGGACTGAACCATACTTGGAGCTCTTGGATAGTGTTAGAGAGAACTTGAGTAGTCGCCTCACAGAAGGATACACAGAGTTTCCCACAGTCCTGGGCTGCTGTGGTTTAAAACTAATGAATGGTGTTGCAGGAAGGAGCAAGTTCATGCAAATGTTTGTTACCCACAGGGAGTCCTTTCAAGGAACACTCCAGCCCCCCCCCCTTCCCTGCTGCCCCTTTCTCACACACGCACGCACCAGCAGTGTCAAGGGGCACTTTGGGTCAAGGGCTTGACTTCAGTTGGGGTGTGCCCTGCTTTCAGGCGGAGGCTGAGGAATGGAAAAAACTAACAGCTGACCAAATAAGGGACCAGTTATGAAAACTGGAATTAATGCAAGGTGTTAGAAGCACACAGGGCGAAATGGAAACCAAGAAATCTCCCTAATGTGCCTTGTCTTACTGGCTCCTGCGTACTTCCATGCTTGGTCCCTCCCTGCTCAGCTTTTTATATACTGTCAGATCTGCCACCTCAACAGTGATTGGTTCCTGTTCTCCCTCCATTTTCCATGGTTCAGTCCTGCAGCTTTAGGGTTGCCAGCTCTGGATTGGGAAACACTTGGAGATTTTGGGGGTGGAGTCTGAGGAGGGCGGGTTTTGGGGAGGGAAGGGACTTCAATGAGGTGTAATGCCCTAAAGTCCACCTTCCAAAGCAGCTGTTTTCTCCAGGTGAGCTGATCTCTGTCACCTGGAGATCAGTTGTAACAGCAAGAGCTCCAGCCACCACCTGGAGGTTGGTAACCCTATGTTGCTTTGAGGGAACCTGGGAAATGTAGCCCAGAAAGTGAAGAGGATCTGAAGAGCCTCTTGCTCAGGGTAAAAGAGGAGCACGCAAAAGTTGACTTGAAACAACATCAAAAAACTAAGATCATGGCATCCGGCCCTATCGCTCCTTGGCAAACAGAAGGGGAAGTCATGGGAGCAGTGGCAGAATTCATGTTCCTTGGGTCCAAGATCACTGCAGATGGTGACTGCAGCCATGAAATTAAAAGACGCCTGCTCCTTGGGAGGAAAGCGATGGCAAACCTAGATGGCATAATAAAAAGTAGAGACATCACCCTGCCAAGAAAAGTCCGTATGGTTAAAGCAATGGTATTCCCAGTAGTCATGAAGCAATGGTATTCCCAGTAGTCATGTATGGCTGTATGTATTGGACTATAAGGAAGGCCGAGCGCCGAAGAATAGATTCTTTTGAACTATGGTGCTGGAGAAGACTCTTGAGAGTCCCTTGGACTGCAAGAAGATCAAATCAGTCAATCCTAAAAGAAATCAACCCTGACTGTTCCCTAGAAGACCAGATACTGAAGCTGAAGCTCAAATACTTTGGCCACCAAATGAGAAGGGAGCACTCACTGGAGAAGACCCTGATGCTGGGAAAGATTGAAGGTCAAAGAAGATGGGGATGGCAAAAGATGAGATGGTTAGACAGTATTATCGAGGCAACAAACATGAAATTGAGCAAACTCTGGAGGACGGTGGAAGACAGGAGGCCCTGGCGTGTTGTGGTCCACGGGGTCGCAAAGAGTCGGACTCGACTGTGCGATGGAACAACAACGGAAAGCCCTAGAAGGAAAATCTGCAGTGAGGCTTGAGGTTTTTTGTGAGGGAAAGGCTGTTTTGAGACCCACAGCCACTCTGCTCCTCAGCCTTGGGCCTAGGAAAGAAAAAGCAGCGTAGAACTGCTGGCACAGGGACCCGTATGCATGACGGACACGCAGGAAGAACTGCCATAGGGTGCAGCATCTCCCATCAGCACAGTCGGATAGTAAGAGAACCCATGTGTGAACAAATCCTCCTTTGTCGTCCCTGGCTTGGTGGGTGGCGGTGAAATTTTGTGAGGGAGGAAGAAGAACTCAACAGATGGGTTTTTGAGTTTGCCCTTTTAAATGGTTTCTGATAACTCTCTGGTGTGCTAACGTGCTGCATGAGTTAAATGTGGTGGCTGTTGCATTTTATAAAGGGCTACATTAGATTTCAGGAAGTCTAGCAGCTGTCCCAGTGCCGTGTTAGCTTGAGTTCTGACTACAGGGTGGTAGTTTTGGTTCCTGAAGTCTCTCTCTGGCTGTTAACTTTCTGTTCTCCTTGCTGCCCTGAGCATTTCTTTTAGTGGGTGGTCAAAATGTTCACAGTGGTGAAAACCAGTGAGGATTGTGAGGCACTCCAAAGGGATCTGTCAAAGATGGGCAAGTGGACGTCAACATGGCAAATGGGGTTCAATGTGGCCAAGTGATGCACATTGGAGCCAAAAATCCTAAATATAAATACACATTGATGGGGTCTGAACTGGCAGAGACTGATCAAGAGAGAGATCTTGGAGTCATAGTAGATAACTCACTGAAAATGTCGAAACAGTGTGTGACTGCAATAAAGAAGGCCAATGCTATGCTGGGGATTATTAGGAAGGGTATTGAAAACAGATCAGCCAATATCATAATGCCCCTATATAAATCAATGGTGAGACCTCATTTGGAATACTGTGTGCAGTTCTGGGCACCACACCTTAAAAAGGATATTATAGCTTTGGAAAAAGTGCAGAAAAGGGCAACTCAAATGATAAAAGGGTTGGAACACTTTCCCTATGAGGAAAGGTTAAAGCGCTTAGGGCTCTTTAGCTTGGAGAAAAGACGACTGAGGGGTGACATGATCGAGGTTTATAAGATTATGCATGGGAAAGAGCAGGTAAAGAAAGAGGTACTTTTCTCCCTTTCTCACAATACAAGAACCCGTGGGCACTCCATGAAATTGCTGAGCGGTCGGGTTAGAACGGATAAAAGGAAGTACTTCTTCACCCAAAGAGTGATTAACACATGGAATTCACTGCCACAGGAAGTGGTGGGTGCTACAAGCATGGACGGCTTCAAAAGGGAATTAGATAAGCATATGGAGCAGAGGTCCATCAGTGGCTATTAGCCACAAGGTATAGCTAGGGGCTCTGGGGCAAGTGATGCTCTGTCTTCTTGGTGCTTGGGGGGGGGGTCAACAGTGGGAGGGCTTCTAATGTCCTGGCCCCACTGCTGGACCTCCTGATGGCACTGGTATTTCTGGCCACTGTGTGACACAGAGTGTTGGACTGGATGGGCCTTTGGCCTGATCCAACATTGGCGTCTCTTATGTTCTTATGTTCTTAAACCACTAGGCCATTCAGGTTTGACCCAGAGCATATCACTGATGAATATACAGTGGAGGTGAACAATAGGTTTGACTAGATTTGATAGACAGAGTGCCTGAAGAAGTAT